AGCCTACTGCCCCTCAGACAAAGGACTTCTATCTAGGACATATAAAGAATTAAAAAAACAGGCCTCCCAAATTCAAAGACCCAACCCCAAAATGGGCATCTGAGATGAATACACACTTCTCTAATGAAGAGATACTAATGGCGAATAAATACATGAAAAAATGTTCAACATCATTAGTCATTCAAGAAATGCAAATTAAAACAACACTGAGATTCCATCTCACCCGAGAAAGAATGGCTATCATCAAGAAATCAACCAATAACAAATGCTGGAGAGGCTATGGGGAGAAAGGGACCCTACTCCACTGCTGGTGGGAGTGTAGACTGGTGAAACCACTGTGGAAATCAATTTGGAGATGCCTCACAAAAAAACTAGGATTAGAAGTCCCATTTAACCCGGCTATTCCCCTCTGGGTATTTTCCAGAAGAATTGAAGACATCTTACCACAGCAATACATGTGCACCCATGTTTACAGCAGCACAATTTGTTATAGCTAAATCTTGGAAACAACCCAGATGCTCATCCACTGAGGAATGGATACAAAAGTTGTGGTATTTTTATACAATGGAGTATCACTCAGCTATTTAAAAAGATAAACTCAAGGCTTTTGTAGATAAATGGATACAACTAGAGACCATACTCATAAGTGAAATAAATCAGACCCACACGTGTAAACATCATATTGTCTCCTTGGTGTAGGAACCTGAAGGATGAGGTAAAGCTCAAAATGTAGAATAGATGATAGGAAAGGGAAAGAAATTGCTCAAAGGAAGGAACCACTGGGATGAGGGAAAGAAGAAAGAAGAAAGAAGGAAGGCAAAACATAAATATATACATAAATAGCTGCAATGACTGTATTGCTGATGTCTGATGGTGTATTGAAATGAACAGTTAATGCTCACAATTTTTTATGTTCTGATCAACTTTGCATGCTTGTGTCTGGTGGTCTGAGCAACTGATTTGAAGGTAACAATATGCAATGGAAGTACAATGGTGAACTCCTACCATCTTGTCTAGTGAAACTCTGCATTATCTCTAATGCTTTATTGAAGAATTATTTTCTTATCCTCCTTAATGGTTTGAGCAATCTTTCATTCTTACATCGGATAATCTGAGCAATGTAGCTGAGGATAGCAATATGCAATGTAACAACACTGTTGATTGTATTAATTTGTCTTGAGACCCTGTATCACTTTGAATGTTCTTGCTTTGATTTGTTTATGTTCGTGATACTGGTATGCTGCTACTGTTCTATTTTTTTGTTTGTTTGTTTCTCATATACTACTCTCTTTAAAATAAAAAATAAAAAAATAAAAGAACAATGGGAAGTGGTCAGTGACTGCCCCAAAGCTTCACCGGAAGAGAGCAACCATGGAAAAAGGAACATTTGGTAGAGAAAGAGATAAGGTTGAGTTTCAGGTTCAAATCAAATATCCAAGTGGAAAGTGTGTAAAAAATTTAGAGAAAGTGTTGAACACCCTTATGAGAGGATGGACCTGTGGAGTATCCCAGGAAGAAAACAAAATAAAAATAAGGGCACAGAGCCGAGAAGAGGAGGTAAGCAATAGTGGCGAGAGAAAAAAACCCAGAGAAATAAGGGCAGTTTCAGATGACAACTGACACAAAATACCACCAGGAGAGTAGGGGGGCAGGAGAAGCAAAAGCAATGAGAGACTTCAACTCATATGTCTAAAAAGTTCACCTGAAAAATCAGAGAAATAGTTCACTGGCAAATATTTGTACGACAAATCCACAAACAGCAGAGTACGCTTGACAGATTTTCAGCCATCTCTTTTAACATCACAGTATCTGCTTTTCCACTGTCATTTCTTCTAACATTCTGTTCCACACATAGCTTTTTCCAAAAAAAAATTTAAAAACTTTCTGCTCCATGTTTAAAAATCTTTATATTACACTCGCCGTTAAACTTCATACATTGCTTATGTGGAACTGGGCCACCACTGTAACCATTCTTGGGTACTTTTTTCCCCATCTCTGTTACATGGAAAAGACCCAAGACCCTGGCAGAGCCAAATCACGTTTCAATTGTTGCCTTCTCCCCCAGTTTAATTTCATCAGGTCACTTTGCAGTTTAGTGCTACCTTTTTAGTTGTGAAGTGTTTTTCTCTTTTTCAGAGGTATAGATTTACATCTCCCTTTTCTGAGAGGTTTCTAATACCTACTTTTCTGAAATCTCTAATTATGTCCACTGGGTTTTGCAGCCCTAGGATGAGTGACTTTCTCATAAGGTTCTTGTCACTTCCATGTCACCAACTAATATCCTTTATTGGAAACAATTACATCCAGAATAGGAATGCCCTTTTTCACTTTCCCCACATTCTAAGACACAAAACTGTCAGCAAATCCAAATCTAGGATTTATTAGATTTTCTGTGTTAAATGGAATGAAGCTTCCAGCAGAATTTGAGATAGCATCCCTTATTATTTTTATGCCTTGCCTCAGTTCGACACAAATCAAGAAACTATCATCAGAGTTTAATATCTAACCTGGGATTTTGTAAGAACCTTTCCTTTGCAAATGACAAGGCAGAGGGAGGGTGGCAAACAGCTACTGCTGTTATGAATAACAGCAAAACAAGTAATGTTTACTCATGCCAAATCCACGTACAGCAAAGAGACCAACAACAAAAAAGGAATAAATATTCCAGGAAAAAATGATAAAATGCTATTCTACTATGTTTAGAACACGATGTGATTCAATAGTAAAATTACTGGTTCAATTTTTCAAGCATGTATTTACTGTACACAAAGCATAACATTACTCCATTATTTTATGGTTACTGAACTGTCTCCTGATGGCAACATTCACCTTACATAATTCAAAACCAGCTGAGGAACAATTTGTCTTTCGAAATTTTCTCCCTTTATCTTACACCTCAAGAATTTAAGAGTTTGCTTCAACCTTTTGTTTTCCTACAAAGTTGTATTTTTAGCTCACTAGACTTTATGGCGCTCTATCTACCTGTAATTATGCTGCAGAAGCATAAGAAGACGCCAATGAAAGGCCAGCAGCAGACAAGATAGCAGGAGGCCTATTAGTGGCCTTAAACAACTGCAACGAGGCAGGATGCGCCTGGCAGGGTTCCTGCTGTTTTTGGCCAGGCATGACAAACCCCAAGAGCTGAACTTGCTTTCAGAGTAGGTCCTAATGCAGGGCATTACTTCGCTATCCTGAAAACCAAGGGTTGAAATCAAAACTCAAGAAGACTTGTCCAAACGGGAGACATGGGAAAGGCAGAAGGAAAGGGTTGAGAGTGGTGGCCTCTAGACACCTTTCCAGATCCTACAGGGCCACCACCCACTGCCCCACCCTTTCTCTCTCAAAGCAAAGCAAAACCCCCACACCTCCTTATGGGAGACCAAAATGTTACTTTTAGTTCCAGCTTAGAAATATTGTGCAAGTTCATTTTAAAAGTTTTTTTTTTTTTTTTTTTTTTTTTAAAGTAATGAATCTGGACTTAAACATGAGACACTTCAAAGATGTTTTAGAATGAGAATATTTTTTAGGGAATAGAAACCATTCTGTAGTAGAAATCATCTCCCATAGTTATGCAAAATTCCTTCTGTAAAGGATCATTACTGTCTTCAGACATATAATGTTCTGAGAAACCACTTTGAAGATATCAATATGCAATACAACAACCATTGTTAATTTCCTACCACTTTGTCTGTAACTCTGTATTGCATGTATTGTTCTTATGCTGCTTTGTAAATGGATGTGTTTGTTATATGTTTTCCTTCTTTTATTATTAAAATAAAATTTTAAAAAAAGATATATAATATTATGGCTTGTGTCTAGATTTCCCCTCAAAGCCTCATACAGTGATAAGTGGGTCTTTTTCAGGGGTAGATGAATCTAGAGTGTGTGAATGATTCATGGTAAAATGCCAAGACTAAGAGTGCTAGGATTAAGGGTGGGTGATTGCTGGTTCAGTCCACTGACTGGATTGGCACTGCACTAATCCTGGTAGTCTGGATACAATATAAGGGACAGAAAGAGGCTTGTTTTGGCCCTTCTTGCTTTGCTACCTTCTCCAGGCCATAAACTGTTTCTCTTCTGCAATGCCACCCTGCTTTGGGGCCAGCTGATTATGGACCGAAACCTCTAAAAACTGTGAGCTAAATAAACCTTTCATCTCTTAACTTTGGCTGTTGGGTAGTTTGTCTCAGCATCAAGAAAAGAAACTAAAACATATTAAAAAAGTGTTGTTATATGTATGTTTATCACTCAATGGAACCTGATCTTATGAGTCATTATACAACACACTATATGCAGTAGTTCTGGCTTATTTTAGATGAGTACTTTTTGACTCAACTGAGTTAATGTAACTGCAATAAAGTAGCACATTTACATTATTCTATTCATTGATAACATTAGCATATAATGCAAATTTACCTTGGAACTTTATGTATATGCACATTTTTCTTCATGAGCTTCAGGAAATGGCAGTTCTTCTCAAAGGGATGAGGGTGAACCAGCCAGACCATAATCTATGGGCGCTCAAACTACAGGTGCCCATAAAGATGGACTGATACTGTCCCAGCAGAAATTAAGAGCTTTCTACACCTTTATGATGAGGTTAGACGGTTAGCTACCTTTCTGACAAATAATGACACCCATACCTTCTCTAACAGGACAGACTGGCCCCTACAGATATGTCCATGAAAAATCAGCACTCCTGAAAAGGAGCTACCTATACATTTTTTAAAAAATCGTATTTTACCTCTCATATGCCAATAAAGTTAAATTCTATTGAGGAAATGCTCCAATGTATAGCGCCTATTGTTACACAAGCATTCCGCTAATGTTGATGCTGACTAGACAAGGGTCCATCAATTTAAAACCTGGAAACTCATTTCATTGTGATACTGAAGATCCATAAATTTGTCTTGTAAACTTCTCCTATGATACAATTTACACAATCAATAATATGATCAAAAATATTAAGCAGCTAAAATTACACAAGTAACCATACTTACGGCTGACAGAGCTTTACCAGGTCCTGGTCAGTGGTGTTGGGGGGCAGGCCTCGGATGTAGAGGTTCGTTTTGCTTAGCTGATCCCATCCTGAGTTACTACTGCTGCTACTGTTGTTATTACTGCTGGTGGTGCTGGGACTAGGAGGGGCCATGGGGTGCGCTGGGACCAGAGACTGCTGCAAAGCAAAGACCAGGAGTGTCAGATCACTAGAGGGAAGGGATCAAAAACCATCAGAGGCTATATGAGCTCCAAGATAAAAAGAAGTTACCAAGGTCTAAATTCAGATTATCTTCAGCTACTTTGATGTATAAATTTTAACTTATACCTTCAATACAATCTATTCTTTCTACTAAAAAAAGAAATACCCCTGTTCTGCAACATGAAATAGGATTTTATAGGAAAACTCTCCATGTACTAGGAGTGGTAGCACATGCCTGTAATCCCAGCACTCTGGGAGACTAAAGCAGGAGGACGGTATACTGGAGCCCAGCCTGGGTCACTTAGTGACTTAGCAAGACTCTGCCTCAAAATAAAAAATGAAGGGCTGGGGATATAGGTCAGCAGCACAGCGCCTGCCTGGCAAGCACAAGGTCCTGAGTTCAATTCCCAGTACCAAAAAATAAAAAAATAAAAATAAATTAACAAAAACAAGAGAAGGGGCCAGGGAAGTAACTCAGTACGAAGACCCGAGCACAATCCCCAGTACTGTCCATAAAAATGGCAAAGAATCTCTGTTGTATCTTAAATGGGACTTAATTTATGTAAAATTAACTTATTTGCACATTTTTAAGGAACATATCTTTGAGACTCAAAATTAATTTTCATAATGTCACATGACAGTATCATCTTCTTTTTTTTTTTTTTTTTTTTGGTTTTTCTCCGGTACTGGGAACCGAACTCACGACCTTGCGCTTGCCAGGCAGGCGCTTTTGCCGCTGAGCTAAATCCCCAGCCCCCGACAGTATCATCTTCATGCACAGTAATTTAGAAATCACTAGACTTGAAAAGGCTTTCAAATTCTGAAGAGTATTTGATGGAAAGTTGCAGAACATTTTATTAAGGGAACTCTTTAAAATTACTCTTCAAGTATAAGAAAGCTAGTTTACTTTAGAGCATCAAATCAGGAGGACTTCACTTAGTACTACAGGCACACAGCTTCACGGAGACTTCTAGGTAAGATTCGCCGGCACAACTTTCTCTGTAGCAAATCTTGTGAAATTTAACCCAGGGGAGAATGCTGTAGTAGTTGGAAATCTTCCCATGCTAGGCAGCAACGCCCTCAACTCTCCTAAAGCCTGCAACCAAGGGTTTGGTGTGGTTTTACCAAGCGGAGCCACCTAGGAAAAATGACTGAGGGTGGACTCACACCAGTTAATTCTCTGTGAACCAATAGAAGGAAACCACAGTTCTCTGATCCTATGCCACACACATGACTTTTGAGGAAGTGAAGTAGCTTAGTTTAAGATGGGAGTGAGCACAATCTGAGGTGGCCTCCCAACAAACACTTGGTCGTTTCATACCAGGAAAGGAAATTTTTCATGTCACATCTTCTGAACAGGAAGTGCACTAACCCAAGGAAACCATCTATATTAACAGTTTGGATATATACAATAAAATAGTCACTAGCCATTCAACAAAAATTTCAACTCTTACAACTTGACTTTTACTACCACAGACAAGAAAATGAGGCAAGGCTGGGGGTATAGCTCAGTGGTAAAGCCCTTGCTTACCATGTGCAAGGCCCTGAGTTTGATCCCTAGCACCTCAAAAAAAAAAAATTGCCTTTGATACCAGGGATAGCACTTGAAGAAGTTTGAAAGAGCTGTGGATCAGGTCCATCCCCTCTTCCTAGTGGGACTGCACTGACATGAAACAAATGCACTATTAGGTACCTGAAGACTGCATTCAAGTCTGCCTCCGCTCGAACCTCTCTACTGTCTCAGGAGAGTGCAGGGTGTTGACTTGTACATTTAAAAGAACACTGTGCATATGACTTATTAGAGATTTGTACATGAAAGCAGTAGGTTTCATGTATTTATTTTTGATAGAAGAAATACACTCATAGTTTACACTTCTGAATGCACACAGATGATTTAATATATGTTTGACCAGCGTCCCTATGTATCAGAGTAGTATCTCTTCCCTGTGGAGAGAAGTTACACAGCCTGTGCCTATCTGCTGCCTGCTGGGAGGCCCTACTGGGAAATGAAATCTCTCAGAGTTCTGGTCCCAGGAAGGAGAACAGGGTTAGTGCACATACCCAAGAAGGGCCTCATGTTTCTGGTGAATCCTATGTACAACGAAGTTCAAACTTAAATTTTATCCAAATATCAACTTTTTCTCAGAGCTAGCTGAAGACACTGCTATCTACAAGACAGAAACACTGAAGTATTATGGGTTGCCAATTTTTAATTTTTCAGTACATATAAATTTCTCTCAAAGATTAACTTTTTAGAACTCCTTGAATCTAAAAGGGTAAGATCTAAGAAACTTCAGGTATAATAGATGTTGACTCCTAAATAGTCAGAAAGGGTGAATAACAGTTTGAATAGTATGAGTAAAAATCACTGTTACTGCCTGTTTACCATGTGCTACAGTATGTGGAATGGCTTTGTATGCATTGCCTTACTAAAGTCAATGAGACAGGTACAGCATTGTTCTCCCATTTTGTAGATTAGGAAACTGAGTTTCAGGAAAGGAAGAGTGATTTACCAAGGTCATATATTAACTAGGTGGCAGGGCTGGAATTTGAATGCACATCTGCTAGATAACAATGCCAGAGCCTTCAAACAGAACCCTAAAGGATACTTCAAAATACCTTCTATATCCTAAGTGTCCCATTTGGCTTATTTTCTATTTTCTGTGCCAAAACAGTAACAAAAAGATGTCACTGGGTGCAATTAATCAGCACACAGTCAATTGATGCTTTAAAAAACAAAATGATACAGGGTGTGGTAGAGCTGCACCTGTAATCTCAACACTGTGAGGGCAAATAAGGAGGGTCAAAATTCTGAACCCAGCATAGGCAACTGAGTGAGAGAGACCCTGTCTCAAAATTAAAAATACAGAAAAGGGAGGGGCATGTACCTCCGTACCAAGGTCCTAGGTTCAATCCTCAGTACTGCAAAACAAAACAAAACAAAACCGGGTTTAGCTTTAAAAAAGAAAAAAGTATTATTTTGTAAATTATACTTTATAAATCTTTTCATTAAAGAACAGATCCTGAGGGGGCCAGAGGTATATCTCAATGGTACAGCAGAAGCTTAGCATGTGCTAACATCATACAGAAAAAAGAATGAATAAATTAGTTTTGACAGCCAATATGCAAAACAGTATTGAGTTTCATCAAAAAATTAAAAATAGAACTAGCACATGAGCCAGTGAGCCACCACTGGGTATGTATCTGAAGGGAATGCAGTCACCGTGTTAGAGACACCCACACTGTCGTCTTCATGCAGCACTGGTCACAACAGCCGAGAAATGGAAACAACCAGAGTATCCATCAACACTGACTAGATGGAGAAGATGTGGTTTACATAATGGAGAATGACTCAGCCTTAGAAAGGACGAAACCCTGTCATTTGGGACAAGGATGGAACGGGAGATCCTCATGCTAAGTGAAGTAAGCCAGAAACAGAAGTATCACGTGATCTCACCCATACGTGGAGCTACAAAAGTCCATCTTGTAAAAGTTCAGAGTAGAGGGATGGCTACTAGAGGTTGGGGAGAGCAGGAGGATAGGACAGATGGGGAAGGATTCCTCACAGGCTACGAAATCACACATCAGGCGCACGCGGTCCTGGTGTGCTGTTGCAGAGTAGGGTAGCTACAGACAACCATAACGAACTGTGCACTTCAAAAAGCTGGAAGAAAGGATTGTGAAAGTTTTCTAGGTAAGGAGAAGAGCTGAATACATGTAACCTGATTTAAAATTATAAAATGTGTACACATACTGAAACATCACATTACTAATATGTATAATTTTATGGTCTTAGGTTACTAATTAAAAATGAATTTAATAAACTAAAGTAATTGATCTGATTGAGAATAATAAATTCTATACATAATAAATTCTACACATAATTCTTGAAAGTTACAGTCCATTACAGCTAAACTAGACTAGCTAAACTACAGTTACAGTCAGTGGGAAGGCTTGACTTACAGCAGTGAAGAATTAAACCCTCCTAGATGGAAACGCAAATACTGACAAGTCTTTAACTACAATTTGAGAACTTGATAAATTTAAAGCCATTTTACTTTGTGCCTGGAAAGCACAAATGGCAAACAAAAGAAGAAAGAAAGGAAAGAAATAAAGAAAGGAGGGGAAGGAAGTACTACATATAAAGAATGATTTTTACCAAACTCCATTTTCATCACTGGTTGACCTTTTAAATTCTGCTCTCAAAACCCCTAAGCTTCCTTGGAATTTGAAAAGACTTCCTACGGATAAAGGGGACAGCTAGTTTAAATACATTCAATCTAGGGAAACCAGTGGCTGGATGTCCACAGTTAAGTGCCCACAAAAAAGCATAGGGGTCTATCTGCCTTCTCCAGACCCCTTTTCCTGGTTGAGGTAAGGTAACCAGGCTATAGTCTTACTTCTCCATGGGCAGAAAAAACAGGTTAATTCAGTTTTCTTGATAACGTTTATCTGGGCTAATCTACATGCCAAACTTGATAGAAAACAGTGAGTGGTGAATAAACAGGGAGACTGTATTAGCAGACACCAGGAGCAGCAGTGCTCATTAGCATTCACTAGGTCTCCCTTTGTGGGCAGCATTCAGTGAGCACTTCCTGTATAGACAGCAGTCAGGGAGGAAGGACTTCCTGCGTGGACAGCATTCAGAAATCCCTTCCTGTGTGGACAGGACTGGTGTCTCTACCTTCCCAGGAAGCTCAACTAGGACTCCCATACAAAAAAATGGATCAACAGGCACACAGCAAGGACACACAGGGTGGTTTTATTTCCCTCTGTACCACATACCCTCCCATCCAACATCACACTTACTTTCTTCTACATAAACACAAGCTTAAAAATTCTTTAAAGAAGCAAAATTAACCACAAGTCACCTAAGACAAATTAGTAATTATGTACTATGCTGTTGATTTTTATTCAGTGAACACAATTTAAACATGAAAACTTATTTTAAATTCTATTGCATCATTTCCTTCCTA